ACTTATCTTCTCTATTTCGCTAGCTCTCGCTAACTAAGTAGAATGTAAATTAAGTGGGAACAACTAAAATACCGTTTATTGTTTCTTCACACAGGGAGCTTTGGAGAAAGAGTTAATTCGCTTACAAGCTTCATTGCAAAGTGAACTTAGCACGAAGAAGCAAACGGATTCTCAAAAAATGGAACTTGAAGGTATAAACATTTGTTTTAGTATTGAACATTTTTTGCTAAAATCATTCTTCTATACCATTCCATGTCAACATAATAAAATAATATGCATTGGGCGCATAGCATGCAGCTTAATGTTGAAAGTGCTGCTGTCACGAATTTTTCGACCTAATTGTTTTAGCTTAAATAGAAGAAATTAAGTCTTAGAAGCAATTTGATATGTGTATATAAAATTGCTTCATTGCCGTAATTGGTGTATGTGGTCACCCACTCGTATCTTAAGTGGCGAAGTTTAATAAATAAATATACAGTACACAATATATTTTTTAACCATGTCTGGAAGTTTTTATTTTTAACTTTGTCTGGAAGCAAAATGTGGTTGCGAAATAGGTTGTCCCATGCGAACTTCCTCCCCCTCCCGCCATATTGATGCCGTTTGACGTCATAAGATGAACGGAGATTGTGGCAGAAAGTTTTATATACCAAAGTTCATGTTTCATACCATGTGTGATGTCAAAGTTCATGTTTCATACCATGTGTGATGTCAAAGTTCATGTTTCATACCATGTGTGATGTCAAAGTTCATGTTTCATACCATGTGTGATGTCAAAGTTCATGTTTCATACCATGTGTGATGTCAAAGTTCATCTTATTAGACCGTATCATATGAAAGTCATGAAATTCTGGAAACTGCTGCACACCGGAAACTGTTGCACACTGCACAACTATTTTAGAAGTTTCCCGTTTCTTTTTTTAATTTTTTTTACACTTTTTCATATCGCAATGGAATTTATGCCAGTTTCACAGTCTTGGAAACTTATGAAATCGGTTTGAACTTTGAATAGCCAATGTCTAATTCTATTTGCGGCAAACAGGTATTTTAGACGGAAGGTACTTTTCATTTGCAATTCATTGTGGAGTGAAACATTTGCCTCTCAGCTAGAAGAATTAGAATATTATAGTCATATATACTTCCATATTGTTACAGTTCAACTGCAATTTGTTTCCAGCGCAGAATGCGTTCGTTATTTGTAGCCGTATAAATAGCCTAATGACGAGGTTTTTGAGCAGATTGCGACTTCATGGTTTAATAGTACGACTTTATATTTGCAGCCCATTTTATGGAAATGAAACGCGAGAATGAGTTATTAAGAAATAAACTTGCTGAGGCAACGTTGATGCAGAAGAAACTCGAACAAGATATTGTCGCACTACAGAAGGTGGGCGTCAGGCATGTTATTAACAGGGTCGTAGCTATAGGAGGGGGGTAAATATTGAGATTTGGGGGCATCTCGTTCGATAGTAGTTGTAGCAATTTCGTTTTTTTTGCAAATGGAATATTCGAACACAAAATTATATACCTTATTCGTACTTAATTTCGAGTGTACTTAACTTCGCGATTTTTTCGGGGCAATATTTTGCGAGACTTTATTTTCGCGAATGTGATAGGCGAAAATAGGAAAGGGGCATTAAATTTCGCGAAAGCTTTCTCAACAACATTTTATTTTCTACAAACATATGAATTACAACTTTCGAAACAAGTAAGCATCAGGTATACATACTGTACTGTCTGTATGTATGGTAGTCCGTAATGATTTTACTCGCCTTTTTACTTCTGCTTATTGCCGCAGTAACAAGAAAAATTTACAGAATCATTCCACTCGATAATTTCTATCTACAGTACCCATCAAATATTATTCATTCGAGTGAGATGCCACAAAAATCTTGATATTTAATTTCATGTGTGTTAATTTCAAGAGACTTCGATTTCGCGATTTTTTTACATCGAAATTGAGTACGATGAGGGTACATTTTTTAGACTTAACCAGGAGTAGTTACATGTATGGCTAAATGTCGTACCGGCGTATGAAATGAGTTCTGACGCCACCATTCCTGTTCATTAGTTTATGGCAAATAAATTATCTTTACACCTAATTATTCAAGTACATACTGTACGTCAGGTGGATCTTAATGTGTCGTCTGGAATTCTGTTACCAAATAGAAACATTTAGAATAGTTTCGAGGGATGAACCAGGCGGGAATCGTAATCTAATAATAAGCCCAGCATAATAATGTCCGTATAATAATAGCCATAACAAAGAGAAATTTTCATAAATTGAATTATTTACAGAACTAACGTTTCGTCTTGCACTTAAGACATCTTTACTGTAAAGAATGATATAAAATTGATGATGTTTGTGATGTTACTCTGAGTGTGCATCCACAACGGGCAAGCTGAAAAGTCAGCTTGGCCACGCTGGGAATCGAACCCGCCACCTTTGGGATACTTTGGGACAATATCGAAGGAACTAGACTCAGTTCCGAAATATCATCAACTCGAACCGACTTGACCACGTAGCTCAGTTGGCAGAGCATTGGACTAGTATCCCAAAGGTGGCGGGTTCGATTCCCAGCGTGGTCAGGCATACTTTTCATCTTGCCCGGTGTGGATGCACACTCAGAGTAACACCACAAACATCATATTCACGTGAGTACATAACACCAACACACACAAAAAATAATCATATCATGGAATACACTGATAGCGAAGGAACTAGATTCAGTTCCGAAATATCATCAACTCGAACCGACTTGACCACGTAGCTCAGTTGGCAGAGCATTGGACTAGTATCCCAAAGGTGGCGGGTTCGATTCCCAGCGTGGTCAGGCATACTTTTCATCTTGCCCGGTGTGGATGCACACTCAGAGTAACACCACAAACATCATATTCACGTGAGTACATAACACCAACACACACAAAAAATAATCATATCATGGAATACACTGATAGCGAAGGAACTAGATTCAGTTCCGAAATATCATCAACTCGAACCGACTTGACCACGTAGCTCAGTTGGCAGAGCATTGGACTAGTATCCCAAAGGTGGCGGGTTCGATTCCCAGCGTGGTCAGGCATACTTTTCATCTTGCCCGGTGTGGATGCACACTCAGAGTAACACCACAAACATCATATTCACGTGAGTACATAACACCAACACACACAAAAAATAATCATATCATGGAATACACTGATAGCGAAGGAACTAGATTCAGTTCCGAAATATCATCAACTCGAACCGACTTGACCACGTAGCTCAGTTGGCAGAGCATTGGACTAGTATCCCAAAGGTGGCGGGTTCGATTCCCAGCGTGGCCAAGCTGACTTTTCAGCTTGCCCGTTGTGGATGCACACTCAGAGAAACATCAGAAACATCATATTCACCCGAGTACATAACACCAACACACACAAAAAAAAAGATATAAAATTACAAAGTTATATATGCATGAATAAATTACAACTAATTACAGAGTATAGAATTACAAGTATAATCTAAGGAAGAAAGGGAGCGGAAGTACATAAGGTATGGAAAGGGGATTAGAGTAGAAGAAGAGGGACTGAACTGCCTTGTACGTTCAGGGTAGGTTTAAGTTTGGAAATGAGAAGGCTTTCATGGATCATAAGCTCGTCAGAGAAACATTTCCAGTATAACGAGCTAATTTGTCTCCTTGTAATTCAAAGCTTACTACAATATTATTTCATATCTTTCAGGAAAAAGCGAACATCGAGTATGACAAGATTGCCGAAACGCAGAAATTTGATCAAGCCATCGCAGGATATAAAGCTCAAATCAACAGTTTCCAGGCGGAAAAGAAACGTTTGTCAATGACTCTAGATGAAAAGAAAGAGCAGGAGCGACACGAGCACGATAAAGCTTGTAAGTTTCCTGTGTTTTTGCTTCTAGCTTGGCTAGTTAGGTGGCTCCATTCATCAATCCTCTCACAACATACATCCATGCATGAATCGCGCAAACAAAATTTCTGCCATATGAAGAAACCACGTGACCATTCGTAACCGCGGTAATATTAACCAGAGAATTTCCAATATCTCCCGGCGTGGCATCTTAATTAAAGACGTCATTAAAAAAAGCAATGCGCTTCATATCTCAATATTTTTTTGACATCGATTATCGTATAGTCCATAGTCTGTCAAGTTATGATTGTCTGGAATACCGACAAATGTCAAAGCTACAAAATAGAAGACGTTTGTTTGACCGTGTACTGGAAAAAAATAGTGAAATCCATACTTTGGAATTTGCAATTGCATCACTAAATCCATAGTATATCAGCACAAATCCTTGTCTGAACTTCATTAAATATTATTCATCTGCTATCATTATTGGACGATTATTTAATTATACGAAAATAGAATGAGCTCAATCGCTGTGACCGTGAACATATTAACATAAACTCCGACAATCACTTCTGTTAAGTTTCCAGACTATTATTTAACAATTAGACAACGAGGCCGAGTTGTCTAATTGTTTTAGTATAAACTTTAAGATTAATTTACAACTAGGCTGCAAACACAATACAAAAATACACAATTTCATTGAGTGTATGTTATTTTGTCTATTTTCTTACCCTTAAAAATTGCCATTCCATATTTTTGTTGCTTTTTCGTGTTTTTTTTTAGTACAGAATTGTTCAACAAGTTGTCCAAAAAATCATGAGACATACTTCGGCAAAAGTGCAAAACGCGAATTTTCCGCCATTTTGAATTTTCTATTAGTAGGCTATCACTATAATAGCCTACTAGTAGCGTAGCCAATCAGAAGGCACGATATGTGATAGCCTACTAGTAGGTTTATAGTAAATCTTGATAGACTATGTACTGTATAGTCCTTCAGAGTCTATTGGCATCTCACTCGATTAAACTAATGTCGTAGATGGAAATTTCACGAGTGTACATTTTACACACTTACTTAAACCTAACCAGGAGCAGCTGCGAAAAATGTAACGATTCTGCGGCTTTGTGTTAGAGCTCCACGACTGGACTATGTAGCTCAGTTGGTTAGAGCGCTGCACTGGAATTGCATGCAGGGCTACAGGTTCGATTCATGCTGAAGGGCCTATGGTCGTTGCATTTTTCACAGCCGCTCCTGGTCAGGTCTAGATAAATGTATAAAATATAAAGTCTACGATTATGACACCAAGACCAGTATCATCGTATTTCCCACATACTGTACTATGTATTCTTCCGGGGGCAAAAAATATACAGCTCAAAGTTATTCATTTATCCTCATACAGTCCAGACTCTTCAAAAAGAACGCGAGACAAAATTAAAGTTAGATGCGGACTTATCAGAAGCACAACGAACAATCCAAGTATTAACTGTGGATTATAAAGATGCAAGACAAAAACTGGAACGGCTCGAGCAAGACCACGAGGCTGTTTTAACAAAGGTAGCACATCAAGCATTTCTATAACATTGCATGAATATTTGAACACAAAAAGGATGGCGTTCACTGGACATCTAGACGAGCAGTTTAGAACTGATAGAGTTTATAGTTTAGATTTCCTCCTGTGGTAACACTGGAATTACTGGACCAATAGTGCATGACCCTTTGTGGACCTTTAGGGAAGTCATTTCACAACTGATAAATAGCTCAACTATTCAGTATATAAATAGAATTTGTTTGATTTTTGTCAACATATAGTACTTTTATAACAGGCAATTCTCAAAATTTATTCTAAAAGGTTATAAAGCTAAAATCAGAGGTGTCAACACAACTAGTCTTCTTTATTAAAGCATATACTCTAAGAAAATGCCAGTTGGCAGATTGTAAAAAATACCATTAGAGTGTAACTTTCACAAAGTTGGCCGGTCGTTTATATATATAAATTTAATAATAAATAATAATGGTTTATTAATCACATTTCAATAGCAAAGTATATAGCTAAATTATTATGTGTTTACAGGATTATGAAGAGTAAAATACAAAACTCTTATATATTATAATCAAGACTATGAATTAGTATTTTCTTTAGAATTATGTGAGTAGTATATAAAATTATGGTAGGACATATAATAGAATTAGGATTTTTACGCCAATTGTACTAAAATTGTTATATTAATAGTATATATATATATATATATATATATATATATATATATATATATATATATATATATATATATATATATATATATATATATATATATACTCTATCTTTATGATATTGAGCACTCTTTGCGTTTTGTATTCATAAACCTACTCGTATATATATATATATATATATAGTTTTTCGTTTTACCTCAAAAACCACAACAGTCTGTTTCATCCGTATAGGAATCATCAGGTGGTCTGATGATTCCTATACGGATGAAACAGACTGTTGTGGTTTTTGAGGTAAAACGAAAAACTATATTACGCTCTATCTATATGGTATTGAGCACTGTTTGTGTTTCGTAAACCAAAATCTTAAGCTATATATATATATATATATATATATATATATATATATACACACATATATATATATATATATATATATATATATATATATATATATATATATATATATATATATATATATATATATATATATACATATATATATATATATATATATATATATATAGTAAAATCTAAAACACTAGTATGCTAAAACAATTATAAACCTATATCAAATCTTTCAGTTAATGCTTTTATTGTATTTATCGATCGCATAAACCAACGGACTACTTTTAAAGCGTTCCGTTCTACAAGTAAAATTATAAATTAAATTACTATTTTCTCTAGTTTCTCTCTTTTTAATGTTAGAATGTTTATCAGGAAGCAAACCATGTAGTTTATGGGTGGGTTGGACCATATTTCTGATAAGGTCAATACACAGGTGCTTTCTTCGTTCTTTTTAGGTTAAGTTCTTTTTAGGTTCTTTCCAGATTAAGGTTTTCTCCTGTAGTAACATTGGACCAATATACGGAATGGCTTTTACTGGACCTCGAAGGAGAACAGTTTCGAACTGATAGCGCGAGAAGAAATAATTAGTTTTGTTTCTGCAGTAAATCATTCACTCCTTAGAAATTTAAATATTACAACTAATATGATTCGTCTCCCTGTATTTATATTTCAAAGAAATGTATATTATAATGAGACTGATGTTTCTAAACTTGTATGTTAGGTGAAAACGTTAGAAAGTCAACATGACACGGAGGTTTTGAAACGAACTGGTATTCAGGGTGAAAACAAACAGCTGATGGATCAAGTTGCACAACTGAATACGAAAGAGAAGCAACTAAGCAAGGTGAGAGTTATAACCATGTATATTGAAGAAATCGATTCTATGAGGTAGTGATGCACCGATATCCATACCAGATTTACCGATATTCGTGTCGGTATTTTTGTTGCTCATATATCATCGGTGTTTTATTATAACAAATTCATACAATATCTTTCAAATTTAATGGTATATTTGGATTTCAATTTGATTGCAACACAATTCAGTGACACGAATGTATCAAGATAAATTGAACATATATTATAATATATGTTCAACTTATCTTGATACATTCGCGTCACTGACATTAACAATGTATATGTGTATGGTAAATGTTATGCATGATTGGCCACTGAGCTCATAGTTATGTACTATTTAAAGCACGCGTAGGAGTGTTTTATCACATATAAAACACGACGCGTAGCGGAGTGTTTTATATGTGATAAAACACGACTACAAGTGCTTTAAATGGCTTCAAAAACGACTCCTCTTATATGAGTTCATTGGCGAAGTAATTTTTAAAATAAACTTTGTCTAAACCGAGAAAATCAAAGCTAAAGTTTATGTAAATTAACATGATTTTTTATCACATATAAAGATACGACACGCTTATGATTTTTCTTTGTGTGATAATTCAGGAGAATTATTAATGAGTTTTTTAAGATGAATTTGCTACGGTAAGCGTAAGTCCAATTGACATTTGTGAATTTCGAAGTAAAAAAGAACGTCGGTCATCGGTATCGGCCAAAATCGGCCCTTGAATATCGGTGCACCACTACTGTAAGGCCACTTTAATTTTTGCTATTCCAAAATGACCCAAAACGTTCTTATATTATTCTTTGTAGGATTTGACAGATCTACGCGAGGAAAAGAAGAATTTAGAAGAATCGTATTCAAAATTAAAAAGGTCTACATGTATATACGAACCGACAACTTTTGAGGATTCCCTTGTTCCCACATAAGATTTGACCATGTTCCCTTGTTTCCCAAACTTACATGTTCTCTTAGTCCCCCAGCATACATGCATGTTCTCTTATTACCCCAGCATACATGCATGTTCTCTTATTACCCCCAGCTTGCATGTTCCCTTGTTTCCTATGATTTTTTCGGCTTTGTTCCAGTTGCAAAATATGTTTGTAAAGTTTGTTACCTTGCTCTCCAAAAACCCTTGGAGACCCTGACTTTTATTGAGCTTTCAAACCATGTTTATTTTTATATTAACTCTGTCAAACTTGTGTTTAGTTCGAGCGCTATGGATGATTTGCAGATGAAAGAACTACAGGACCAACTCGAAGCTGAACAGTATTTCTCTGTAAGTGTATGCTGCATAAATTGTAATCATAATTCCCTTCTTATATAGGGGCTGATTACATGGAGAGTTTTCAGCCCGGGCTTTAAACGAGCTGAAATTGCATCACTATATTTATAGTCAACCCGGGCTGAAATGTCAACCCGGGCTGAAATAATCCGAATGTCACAAAATAGAACAATAACCCTGTTACGCTTCTTTGAAGCAATCAGACACTGATTAGTCGACTATTGGACTTGTGTGAGACTGTGGTTATATGTAAAGTATTTAAAGATGGAACAAACACGCAAAATAAAGCCATTTAAACGGTTGCTTTTTTAGGCCGGGCTGAAGTTATTTACGATTACATGCTGCCGGGCTGAAATTTCAGCCCAGGCAGCTCAAACCAGGCTGAAATTTCATCCCGGGCAGCTCAAACCGGGCTGAAAGTTTGGTCATGTATTCGCTTGCTGTGTTTTAATAAGATTTTATCCTTAGGCCGGGCTGAAACTCAGCCCGGGCTGAAAACTCTCCATGTAATCAGCCCCTTATACTCATTAATGCTGAACTTTTGGCGTAACTGTTGATGAAAACCTGTAGGACAGTCGCTACCCATCTCCTTTAAAACGCGCTATTTCTGTGAATAATATAATCAAATAATTTAATATTTGCTCGTTACTCCTTGTTAATGTTAGACATGAACGCTCTTTGTGGAAAACAACTTTCGCTGTCAATGGTTAAATAACGTCCATCATCATTCTTTTCCTTGGCCGCCGGATCTTCTTGAATTGTTTGTCTTTGTTCGCGACTCTCATCCAATTCCAACTAGATCGTCTATTACAGACTTAAAAGTTCCATCAGTTAAGACTACGCAAGCAAAATCCAAAATTTCCTACAGTGGTGCAAGTTTATTCAATTCTTTACCATCCGAATTAAAAGATATTGAAAATCACTCAACTTATTCCTATAAAAAGAAACTCAAAACCTACTTTATTCGATTGAATTATGAAGTAGATCACGTCAATATGTTCCGCTGCATCGATTGTAAGCATATATATTACTCATTGTCAATGTTACTCTCAATAAGATTTTTTTATATTAGACATCGAGGGCCATTGGGAAGAATATCATATTAAGTAATCAATGTAATCCCTCATTAAATAAAGTTTTATTATTATTATTATTATTATTACCTCGTATTGAAATGACGATTCTTCTTTATGTTTCAGACGTTGTATAAAAGTCAGGTGAAAGAACTTAAAGAGGAAATTGAAGAAAAGATAAGGAAGATAGAGGAATTAAAACACGAATTAAGTATTCTACAAGAAGATAGGTAACGGATTTGGAAACTAGTTAGGTCTAATATAAATGTATAAAATTTTCAGTCGAAATTTCCATCTACAAAACCCTTCAACAACTAACAGTTATTCTACGAACTCGAGTCGAATATGATGAGCTCATAGCTCAGGCGTAAAAAAATACCTGTGGTTCCGGTTTCATATCGCGAAAAAATTAGGGTCGGTAGGTCGGAAATAATTTTTTTTTTGAATATTTTTTCATG